TGCGTCTTGTGCGCACTAGTTAACTAGTGAGCATATCTGCACCTCACTAGTTAACTAGTGAGCATATCTGCACCTCACTAGTTAACTAGTGAGCAAATCCGCACCTCACTAGTTAACTAGTGAGCAAATCCGCACCTCACTAGTTAACTAGTGAGCAAATCCGCGCCTCACTAGTTAGCTAGTAAGCAAATCCGCACTTCACTAGTTAACTAGTGAGCATATCTGTGCCTCACTAGTTAACTAGTGAGCAAATCCGCACCCTACTAGTTAACTAGTTGGCGTTTTGGGGCCCACTAGTTAACTAGTGAGCATATCTGCACTTTACAAGTTAACTAGTGATGCTTTTTTGCACCTTACTAGTTAACTAGTGGGTGCTTTAGGGCACACTAGTTAACTAGTGAGCAAATCTGCACCTCACTAGTTAACTAGTGAGCAAATCCGCACATCACTAGTTAACTAGTGAGCATATCTGTGCCTCACTAGTTAACTAGTGAGCAAATCCGCACCCTACTAGTTAACTTGTTGACATTTTGGGGCCCACTAGTTAACTAGTGAGCATATCTGCACTTTACAAGTTAACTAGTGATGCTTTTTTGCACCTTACTAGTTAACTAGTGGGCGCTTTAGGGCGCACTAGTTAACTAGTGAGCAAATCTGCACCTCACTAGTTAACTAGTGAGCATATCCGCACCTTACTAGTTAACTTGTGGGCGATTTGGGGCCCACTAGTGAACTAGTGACACTTATTTTGCACCTCACTAGTTAACTAGTGGACATTTGTACCCTCTCTAGTTAACTAGTGAGCAGTTCTGCCTTCACAAGTTTACATGTAAGTGTCACACTGAAGCCACTACTAGTTCACTAGCTGAGGTTCCTCTGGCCAGCATGTTAACTTGTGTGCCGCATGCAAATGTTTGGGGTGGGATTTTACGAAATTCCGCACTGTGATTGGTTGTCATATTTTATTTTGACACAGGGAGCCAATAGAGAGTCTTAATTTGAGAAATTCTCCGCCTCCTAATTAGAATTCTGCGCAACTAGCTAGCTAGTGTGAATGTAGACTTGAACTAGTTTACTAGTATACATTTATGTCCTCACTAGTTAACTAGTTTGGACAATGGATGCATCAACTAGGTAACTAGTGAGCCTGCTGCCATCAACTAGCTAGCTAGTGAGCCATTAATGGTTCACTAGTTAACTAGTGGCACTGACCTACTCCAACTAGTTAACTAGTTAGGAGTTAAGCCTTCACTAGTTAACTAGTGTGCACATTTTGGCCATCAATAGTTAACTAGTGAGACACAAAAAACCTTCAACTAGCTGACTGGTATGCACTTTGGCCTTTACTACTTAACTAGTGAGCCATTTATGTGACAACTAGTTAACTAGTGAAGCCAAAATGTGTTCACTAGTTAACTAGTGCACATTTATGTCTACCACAAGTTAACTAGTGTGCACATTTTGGCCATCACTAGTTAACTAGTGAGACACAAAAACCTTCAACTAGCTGACTGGTATGCATTTTGGTCTTTACTAGTTAACTAGTGAGCCATTTATGTGTCAACTAGTTAACTAGTGAAGCCAAAATATGTTCACTAGTTAACTAGTGCGCATTTATGTCTACCACAAGTTAACTAGTGTGCACATTTTGACCCTCACTAGTTAACTAGTGAGACAAATACCTTCAAGTAGCTGACTGCTATGCATTTCTGCTTTTACTAGTTAACTAGTGAGCAGTTTTTGTGTCAACTAGTTAACTACTGAAGCCTAAATGTGTTCACTAGTTAACTAGTGCGCATTTCTGCTGTCACTAGTTAACTAGTGGGCACATTTTCACCCTCGATATTTAACTAGTTGACACAAACATGTCTAACTAGTTAACTAGTGGACAGAAATGGCTTACATGTTCATGACAATTCTGGCTGATATCCTGATATCAGAATAAATGCTCATTTGGCTTGCCATAGGCTTTGGTTCCAAGAGAGTCTAAAGCTGGACCCCCGACACCTCCTGATCTAAACGAGGACTTTCGATGGGGTACGTAGACCGACTCAATGTGTGTTATAATCTCCAAACCAAGCTTAGAGCGAAACACTATCTCACTCCCAACAGAACTAATCGTTTCTCCGGATTTGCTGGTTCTGAACATATTCACACATACACCATCCTCAGTCTTACGCCACCTTAGTTCATCATCACATAGTGTTTAAAGTTAGTCTTGTTTAAATTGTTGAGAAATAAATCATTTAACTTTTAAACCTGACTCTCTCTTTCTTGGAGTTAATATGAAGTGTTGCTCAATCCCTGCAATAAAAAGATCCGATCTTCTGGTTAAATTTACTCAAAGATCCATTAAAGTGATATTTCATATTTTATAATATTTCACATTCTATGGTTTCTAATTAAATGTAAAAACATCTTCTCTACACCATTCAGCATCTATCTAGTCAAAAAGGAGACACCAGACTGCATGTGTTCCCTTTAAATTGGCCTGCTTTCATCCCATCAGCTGGAGCTCAGAGCCTCTCTGCAGCTCTGAACACATGAGAACGTATTGTCAACAATAATGTTCTCTCCTCAAGGTTCATCCTTATCGTCCTACAGGATTCTTCATGCCTAACACTCGCAGCTCAGATCAGTTACCAAATCAAAGAATGATTTCCTAAATTAAATGTGAACTTCTAAAACTTATAAGCTAGCTAATCATTAAATAAACGTTTGTTTATTGCTATTTATAATAATTATAATATAATGAAATGTTTCATTAATCTGTGCTCAATGACTGAAGTTTGAAATGAATGTTACGTTATGATTACAGTGATTGAAATATGTTTCAGCATGTTGATATGACGAGGTCATCACCATTTGTACTCACACAAGAACAAAGTAAGGTAAAGTTAAACTCATGACACATAAATAGTCCTTGACCCCAGATCAGAGCCTCCGGTATCAAAGAAGGTGTGTTTCTGAGACTCTTCATAATATTCCTCAAACTTGTCAGCCTCTGGTTGGCTACACAAATCATAACATGAGAACATTAAAACCAGATCACTCTGGTGACTCAGCAGTTCTAGAGAAAGCTTCAGACCGGCCATCTGAAGCAAAAGCCTCTTTAACATCAAAGCTTTTGACACGTCGTCAAAATCTTTTCGCACCTGCAAAGCTGATACAGCAAACAGTTCCTGCAGAACAAGCTGATATTGACGCGCAGTTCCATCCGTCTGTTGTGACCTGAAGACAACTCTAAGACCGGTCTAGTAGTGCCGCAGTTTCTTCTACGGACCTCGGTGCCTGGAAGTCCGAGGACTTCCACATTCCGGATATATCACAAGGGTCTTTGAGTGGGTATGTAGACACGACAGATTGTGTCTGATGTGTTTTTGATAACAACCACCTTCATAGCTTAACGCAAACCAAATTCTTTTACATCCAGAACTCAGCTCTCCTAGATACAGAAGTTCTGATAACATCGCTTTCACACATAGGTTCATACATCACATCTAGTTCCATCCATCACAGTAAATGTTAGTTAACTTGTCATGTTTTAATTGTTGGTAAAATAAATTCTTACTTTTATAAATCTGACTATTTTCTGAAGCAAAACGAAGTGTGTACAATCCCTTAATAAACAAAGAATCCTAGAATCTTCTGATAAACGCACTAAAGACCAAGCAGAGTTGATATTCTATATTTAAATAGAGCATCACAGCTTATTGGTCATAAGTAAAGGTAATATATATATTGAGCTCTTAAAGCACTCAATTTACCAAACCCTACAATAAATATATGAAAACACAACATGAGATGAGAATAATACTTGTAAAACGTTAGTCACGTTTATTTGTGCACAATTAATCGGATTGAAAGCCCAATCAGATAAAAAATTCTACATGTAAACATGTCAATTGGAATGTTCTCATCTGATTCGTCCCAATTGGAATGAAATTTAAATATGATTGAGAGGTGGTTTTGTCTGATCATCAGTCTGATTGACGTGCTCGTACACAGCCAATCTGATTGTTGGAGTAAAATAATGCCCACTGCGCATGTGTGCAACAGCTAGGAGCCTCCTCGCCATCATTTAGAATACCTGACTTAAAAAATGACGGCATAATTAACGAGCGCCGGCTTTTAAATATGATGGCAAGCAGTCCCCGTTTCAGTAATATCTAACCCAGAACTTGCATTTTGTCGAAGTAAAAAAAAACATCTGATTATTGCACAAATCATTCGACAAACGTGTTCAAGTCTGTACTGGAAACACGCAGATTCATTCATAACAAGTCAGTGTGTTGGATAAAAAGCTGATTTTCACCTTCACTTTTTACTAGTATTGTTTTTTTCAAACAGAGTTAATTAGCCTTATTCACATTTAACGTGGTAAATACAGTATTGGATGCATGGAAGATGATTTTGTCTGGGAACCATCTGGTGTGATTAAACCGGCTCCTGCCATAGGGAAAAGTCAACCTTGTAAGTCTGCAGTTCTGTTATCACAACAAACTCCCTAGTGAAGTGAGTGAGTGTTTCTCTGAACCTGGGAAAATTTGCTGTCTGTGAAGGGATGGGTGTGGTCATCTTTAATGTGCTATGTCATATGTCATCTGTGAATAAAACCTTTTGAGGAGCTTCAGCTCTTCGAGAGACTAAACCGACCTCCCTTGACTGGTGTGTTACTTTCTTCTCTCCGGTTTTGCAAAATCTGATTATTGCCTATTTGTGTTTATTGGTAAAATGGTATTAATAACAATAATATCTCTAACCCCCCCCCCCCCCCCCCCCCCCCTTGTGTGTTTTGGACTTTCTTTGAGGTACACCTGAATTGAATAAATAAAAATACCCAACACAGTGTGCACTTGTTAAGTGGTGTTTAAAAAACAATGAAGGTAGTGTGAAAGAGGCAAGAATTAAAAATAGGTAAGCTCAGATTGAAACATCTCCGTCTTCTATTTGCTGCTGATCAAACTATGAGAACACAGGTTTCTCTTTATCATCCTCACTATTTATAGAAGCTGCAGTTAATGGAAATCTGCCGGCATCAGTCTCCTCCCTCAAATGGTGCTGCTTTCCATCCAGACTGGCCCAGAGTTCCTCCTGCTCCTCCTTTATGTGACAGTGTTCTGGGTCCTGCTCGTCCATGCCAGCACTCTGTTCTTCAGGAGCTTCTTCTTTGACCACCACCACCACCTGTTGAACATCTGTAGGAAACAGAAATATATGATGTGAATCACTGACTGCTGTAACTTTAGGTTCACATTCATCACAGTTGTGTTGTTGGTTTGGGTTAGTGACATCAGAACTCACTCAGCAAACTGGAAATAACTTTTGGATTAAGTAACTTTTTTTTGTGAGGTGATTTACAAAGGATTCAAGTCAACATACTTTTAACATTCCCAGAGGGAAATTAAACATTATTGTAACTCATTATTTAAAGAGCAAGTCACCCCCTTCCAGAGTATTACTCCGCCCCCACTTCCTGTTTGAAAAATGCAGCAAATGCTGTTGCCTAGCAGACCGAGGGCAGAGCCGCTAACAAATACACACGCACACACACACAAGCTCACAACGGCATTGTGACATCTTATGGTACCAGCTAACGTTCTAGGGTACCTCTTAGCCAATAGTGACGGCAGATTTAAATTCAAATGCAGTGCAGAGTTTTTCTCCGACAATGGCACAACACTGACAGTTTTAGGCAGAAAATTCAAATTTTAACTAAAATGCACTAAAGTGCAAAACCACTGACTAAACGTGTCTGCAGCACGATTAGACAAGCATTTATATAGTTTATCAGAAAATAAAGTTGATTCGGGGGTGACTTCCTCTTTAAAATACTTATGAACTAAAATTGGAAAAGAGTTAAATGCCTTCTCCAGGTCAGGAACAAAGTCCTGCCCCAAGTGGAGGAGCTTTGGGTAGTGACCGAAAGAACGAGATCACGGATACAAGCGGTCAAAATGCTTTTTCTCCGCAGGGTGTCTGGGCTCTCCCGTAGAGATAGGGTAAGAAGCTCGGTCATCCGGGAGGGGCTCGGAGTAGACCCGCCTCTCCTCCACATCAAGAGGAGCCAGTTGAGGTGGCTCAGGCTAGGGATGTCGACATCCAATCATGTGTTCAAAAATCAACCCGATCATGTGGTTTCAGGCTTAATCGGGGTCTGACATAACGTCCCGATCCAGACTCGGATACAAGCGTTGAATTACGGGGGAGAGTAGCTGCGTCCTGCGCATGGCCACATTCTCAAAGTGACGCCACAAAAAAATTCGGGGTGGGAATTTAACGCATTAATTGCGATTAATTAATTGCAGAAGATTTAGTGCGTTAAAAAATTAATGCATTTAATCGCAGCTTGCATTCTAGACAATGCAGAACTTTTGTCAGTGCACAATTTTCTGATCGGCAGATTACAGTGATGCACATGTCAGGGCGAGGAAATACCAATGGAACTCTCAGAAGAAAGCTCGCTGTTAGGGCCATTAGAAGGAAAATTTAATTTTAAAAAACTACCCAATGGAAGCCTCGATAAAAGCATGGTCTTGTGCAAACTTTGTAAAAAAGAGTTTGCTTACCATCGGAGCGCTTCAACCCTACGGTACCACCTCAACGCAAGGCATGCTGCAGCTAGCACAGAAAGTGCTAGCTATCTGAGTACAAACAAGCCGTCTCGGCAGCCAAAACTTGATGAAATGACTGGATTCAGGGCCAAAATAAGTAAGTCTACGTCAGACAAACTGACAAATTATATTGCTAAATGGATTGCCCTGGTCTGTCGGCCACTATCAGTAGTACAAGATACGGGGTTGGAAAATGTGCTACAGGTAGCAACAGGTGATCCAACTTTCCAGCTGCTGTGCCGAAAGACTATCTCAAGTAAAATTCACCACCTTTATGACACTGAAAAGCAAGGAAAACTAGATGCCGTACAGAAAGCGGACTTTGTGGCTCTTACTGGGGATCACTGGACCTCTGTAAGCAAATCTAATTATGTCGGAGTCACTGCACACACTGTTGTCACAGATGGTACTTGGCATCTACAGTCTAGGGCCCGACCGATATATCGGCCGGCCGATATATCGGCCGGCCGATATTATCAGCCGATATAGGGGTCATTAACTCTATCGGCTATCGGCCAAAAAGACGGCCGATATGGCCGATATAGCGCTACCTATCCATCAGATGGCGCCAGCTTTATGAACTCATGTTGTGGGCTCCACTCCTCGGGGGGTGGAGCCACCATCACAGCACACATGCAGCGGAGCAGCGGAGTCAAGCAGAGAGAGACGGTGATGAGGAAGTAGGAGGTAAGTCTTCAGTTTTAAGCATATTTGTTGTGTCAGTGGTAAGTTGAATGGTAAAATAAGCAATGACAAAAGTATGTTTCCCCTCAACATGCTTCCTAAGTTTATTGTGTGCCACGTGGCCTCGTATTGAAAAGTTAACCTGAAAAAATAAAATAAATACTGCCGCAGCATTACGCTCTATGCAGAGCTCACACTGCTTCCCCTTTAGTCATGCAGGGCAGTAAGTAAGTAACATTGGCCTTTTTCTGGTAGACATTCTGGAATATTCTCAGACAATTTCCTCCGCTCTTCTTCAGCAGTCTTTTCAAACTCACGCGGTTCACCCGCAGCTTGCGAAAAAAATAGTGCAGACGCCGAAACTCGCTGCACGGTGCGGGCGGAGCGTGCAGCGCTTCGGCGGCCCATGTGGCCTATAGAATAGGATAACAAGGGCGACGAATGAAGGAGTCCCCGTTTAGCGGCGCTTCGGCGGCACACGACCGTTCTCGCAGCTGAGGACGGGCGAGGGGGGGTTGGCAACAAAGCAATGAAACGCTGTGCAGGGAGTCCCAGCTGGGAGAGGGGGGGGGGGGGCAGTAATACGAGAAAATAAACATCCCTCTCTACAATAGAATACATCTATTGTATTTTTCAGCCTTATATTTTACATAAGGCTTATACATTGCCACATACTAATTTAACGTATCTTATTTTTATTTTCCTAATACTGTCGGCTTTGGAAAGGATCAAAACACAAAAGTGTAAAACTCAAAAGTATTTTAATGCCAAAAATCAGGTGACAGAAATAAAAACAGGTAGCCAGGACGCTGAAACCAGCAACGTATGACTGAAACTGAACCGTATGCACTGAGGAGTGAGAGATGACAGAGGACTAGTTATGAGGAGTGGGAACAGAGTACAGCAGGGGAACATAGGAGGAACTATAAATGAAAATAATTTTAAAGAAGAAATAATCCTAAAAGGGAAAGAAGAATAACTAGAAAAAAACCTGACAACAAACCGAAGACGAATACTAAATGAGAAAACCTTAACAGCTGGGGAACCAAACAAAAACAGAGCCATTGGTTTTGAGCCACAATGTCTGATATCATTTATTTACATGATAATTTTTAAACTTTTAAGTATAAAAATGCCACATTTAATGTATTTTACTTTGTCTTAGTATCAACAGATATATAACTGTACTTTTATGCTGATTATTTTATTACAGATGGAAAAAGAGGGTCGTAGTAAGGTGTGGGCCTACTTCACTAAAGATCCATCTGGTGATGTCATCTGCAGCATCTGCTCATCTTCAGTAGTAGTTTGTGTGTTCTGTTGTTTTTGAGATTGCAAAATAAATCTTATTTGCATTACTTGGAAACCCTAGTGAGTTATTGAGACAGTTCTTTGGTGTGTAATAGAGAAATAAGTCTGCATCAAAAAGGCAGAGAATGAAGGGTTTAATCTTAAGAACATTTGTATTTATTTTTTTGTGAGGGAGATTTATCGGCCATTATATCGTCTATCGGCCTTTGTTAAAAGTTTTATATCGGTATCGGCCCCCAAAAAAGCATATCGGTCGGACCCTACAGTCTTTTGCCCTGACTGTGCAGAAGTCGAACACCAGACACTATGCAGAACTCTGTGCTGAGGAGTTTCTCTCTGTGGTGGAGGAATGGGGAATTAAAGAAAAGGTCACCACAATTGGGACTGACAGTGCACGAACCATGGTGGCTGCAGCAAGACACCCCCCATTCCAACACATGCCTTGATTTGCTCATATCTTGCAAAGAGCCATCACAGTTAGCCTTGCCGACAGTGGGTTAAGTGACGTATTAGCAAAATGTTGCTAAGTCGTGGGGCACTTTAAACACAGTCTTGCTAATACAGAAGAGCTACACCAGGAGCAAGCAAGACTGGGGAAAGAAAAAGAGGTTCTCATACAAGATGTTTCCACATGGTGGAATTCAACACTGGATATGATCTCTCATCTACTAAACAATCAAGAAGCAGTTTCAGCTAACAGAAACACAAGCTAGTCTTGTTAACTCCATCAGAGCTGGTGAAACTCCAAAGGCTGGCAAGTGTCCTTGAGCCATGCAGGTAAATAAAACTTTTTTCTTAGTTTGTTTTTATTTTATAGTTGACAGTTATTGTAGATTTATAAAAAATTGTTTTCCTGGACTTTCTACTGCAGATTCGTGACTGTGCTCCTGGGAGGCGAGACTTATGTCTCATGCTCAGTCGGCTTACCTGCTCTCTGCCACCTGTATCACACCATGGCAGTCTCTGATGATGACTCAAACTACATGGTGAAATTGAAGACTGCCTTCACAAAGGACTTATCCCAACGTGCAGCTACTCTGAATCATGAATGGCTTAAGATGGCTACTGTGCTCGACCCACGCTTCAAAGATTTAAAGTGCATTGCGAAGGGAAAGCGAGAAGAGGTTTGGCACAGCCTTGAAACCTTACTGCAGGACCAGAGTACAGATGCCCCCACACAGGAGCCAGCAAAGAAAAAGAGCCTGCTTCTCACATCATTGTCTTCAGACTCTGATTCAGATGAGGAAATCCTATGCAACAGGGCCCTGAGTTTATACAAAGCAGAATCCACCATCAGCTAAACAGACTGCCCACTGCAGTGGTGGTCCAGTCGAGCTGGGACCCACCCACAGTTGTCTGTTCTGGCCTGCAAGTTCCTTATTAGTCCTGCCACTTCTGTCCCATGCAAGAGGCTGTTCTCACTTGCAGGTCATATAGTAACAAAAAAGAGAGCTGCCTTGAGCTCTGAGAATGTGAACAGGCTAGTTTGTCTAAGCAACTGCTTAAAAGAAAAGGAGAAGAAATGATCAGTGAAGTACTGTGAGCAGAAAAACAGGCAATCACAGTAAAAATGCCAGGGCTCATTCTACAGGACCAGGGCATTGCAGGAGAATGTCTGAAGAAGAAATGTATTATTTCTATACATGTTTTGGCTGTCAAACTTCCCTATAGTCCCTTTAATTAACATATTAAAGAGGCTTTTTGATATCTTTTACAGTTTTTCTGAAATCGCAGGTAGAAGCTGAGGTACGACTTGAAATTTTCAGAAAAATTCACAAAAGTTATAATGGGGAAAGATAGGAGAGTTGACCCTCCCTTGCTCAATTTCTGGCATAGTCCCGAGAGAACCGTAGGTCCAATTGAAATGAGACACACGCTGGCTTACAGCTTACGAATATACCTTCGTTTTGAGCTATAATTCATGAATGTACTCTAAATATTGTAGTCGTACGATTCATTTCTTTGAGAATATTAAAATTAGGGCTGCTCAATTAATCGAATTTTAATCACGATTACGATCCGAGTTTTGAACGATTATAAAAAACAAAACAAGCCGATTATTTGCTCCTCCCACTTGCGCTGCCCTGAGTTGCAAATGAAGCGCTCCTCCTAGGGTGTTGCCAACTTGGCGACTTTGACGCTATTTCTAGCAGCTTTTCAGACCCCCTTCTTGACTTTTTAAATCTTAAAAGTACCTAGCGAACACCTCAGAAACATCTCTGGTAACCCTTAGCTACTTTCTGGATAACTGTCGTCGACATTTCCTGCAGGTTAGCTAAACACTCCGCCTGCGCTCCGGACCGTTCTTCAGGACATTAGGAAAGGGAATGATGTAGTGATGTGTCAGTCGCTAAAGAAACAGCTCTCAGAGCCGGCTCCCTGTTGGATTAACAAGAGTGAGTGACACACACACCGTACCTGCGGACTCCTGAACCGCTAAAAACGGCTAAATGTGCACGTGCGGCGTGCTAAACACGTGCAGCTTGCCCCGATTGATGTGAGACCGGGTTGGGGGTTGGGGGGTGCAGCTTTGGTTGGGACAATTATTACATTAACTGATGGACTTGTAAATAAATAGTTTATAAATAAGGTAGAAATAAGTTCCTCACGCTGATAAATAATAGCTAATCTCTCTGAGGACACGGTGCTAGTGCACTCTCCCACAGCACCTTGACACAACTCAATAAATGTTATGCAACATTTTGTGAACATCAATTTATTTGCATTTATTTGTTATAAATGCCGCTGTATAATTCTTGCTGTCAGTATTTGCAAGATATTGGTATTTGGGTCTGTACTGGTTAGACTTAAATGAGTTAAACCAAGGTCTATAGCCCTTGGGTCATAGACTATGAGCTATAAGTATATTGGTCTTTTTATACTGGGAATCAGGAGTTCTTTTAGTGATCGTCCTGTATCTTATTTATTTTTGTCCTGATTGTGCCCTGAGCAATTTTATAATTGAATAAAAACAAATAAAATCAACATAAATAGAAAAATCGTCCTAAATAATCGTAATCTCAATTTCAGTCACCATAATCGTGATTATTATTTTTGCCATAATCGAGCAGCCCTAATTAAAATAAAATAAAAATGCTTCCCACCACTCTATACTTTAATATAGAAATGTTATTCAAAGTTTAAGAGTCATGTGACATTGTACATAGCTTTATTAAAGCAGACTCCGGTCATCTGTTACCATGGCAACACAAGGAACTACAAATCACTTTAACCAAGTCTCACAGGAATGAATATTAAAAAGCAGAATATTGAGCCAATAACAGACTCCTGTTGTTGATCTTTTTGAACTATTTGTACTTAAAACTAAAAACAATTTCAATGTGATTGACCGTCAGAAGGTGGGAAAGTGCCCCGCTCCCACCCAGCCCCCTGATTGGTTGAGAGAGGTCAATCATCTTCTGGCTAAATGGAAATACACACCCACGCATGTGATACATCAAATCGATCGGCTTGGCCTAAGGAATCCATCCATCCATCCATCCAATAAACCATCTAACATCAATCCAACAATCCATCCATCATTTCATCCATCCCATATCAAGTCTGAACATATGCTAATCTATCAGTTTCAGATATCAGTAAATGTTTCTAAATTCACAGTTCAGCCAATAGTAAAAATGTACCCATTAAACTATTCTCATTCAAATGCCAGCTGTTTAACATTTCAAATTTTGAGTTTTTAATCAATGTTGAAAGATTAAAGTTTTCTGCTGTTTAGCATTTTTTGTCCATTCTCCACCTGTATTCTGAGCTTTATTACACTTGTTGGTGATTTTTGCTTCTAAATATTTAAATACATTCAGCTCATTTTGACAGTTTAGCTTAGTTTCAGCTTCACTTCAGCTATTCAGCAGCTTCAGCAATCATTTTCTGAATTCGGCTTATGCTGCTCATTTCACAGTTCAGCTAAATGTAAAAATTAAACTGTTAAACTAGTCCTACTGAAATAAACGTTGTTTAGACATTGTAGCTGTCCAGATTTTTATACAATGTTCCCAGATTTCAGTTTTCTGCTGTTTAAGATTATTTTTCTCTATTATTCACTTACTTTTTGTGTTTTATTTGCTTCTTGGTGCTTTTTGCTTTCACATCTTTCACTACATTCAGTTCATTTGACGGTTTAACTTCGTTTCAGCTTCAGTTCAGCTATTCAACAACTTCAGCAATCAGTTACCAAATTTAGCATAAACTGCTAATTTCACAGTTCAGCTAAATGTAAAGATTAAACTGTTAAACTTGTCCAACTGAAATTACAAGTGCTCAGACATTTTAGCTGTCCAGATTTTTATAGGCGACGGTGGCACAGGAGCTAAGTGCTCGCCCCGTAATCGGAAGGTTGCTGGTTCGAGCCCCACTCAGTCTGTCGCTGTCGTTGTGTCCTTGGGCAAGACACTTAACCCATGTTGCCTGCTGGTGGTGGTAGGAGGGACCGGTGGCGCCAGTGCTCGGCAGCCTCTCCTCTGCCAGTAGCCCCAGGGCAGCTGTGTCTACATCGTAGCTCATCCCCACCAGTGTGTGAATGAGTGTGTGAATGGGTGAATGACTGATTGTGTTGTAAAGCGCCTTGAGGGGTTCCATGACTCTAGAAGGTGCTACATCAAATACAGGTCATTTACAGGCCATACAATGTTCACAGATTTTTTTGCTATTTGGGATTATTTTTCTCCATTCTTCACTTACTTTTTGTGCTTTATTTGCTTGTTGGTGCTTTTTGCCTCTACATCTTTCAACACATTCAGCTCATTTTGACAGTTTTGCTTAGTTTCAACTTCAGTTCAGCTGTTCAGCAGCTTCAGCTTACAGTTTCAGCTATCCAGCATTCAAACCGCATTTCTACAAGAAATGCAAATTTTTCTAGGTTAATTTAAAATGTAGACAATCCATAACGCTACATAGATGTGGGAGGACTGATAGTTTGATAGTTGACTTGTTGAATAAATAAGCAGAAAATATATGAGGAAACCACACTCACTCACTCACTCACTAGCAGTTTTGTAACAGTACCTGTATTCATGCTGTCCAGATCCTTATGGTGAAATACTCATGATAATCGATGGTCCTAAAGTGGTAGCATGTTTTAGTTAGCCGAGTTTAGCCAACAGCTGCAATAGAAACAAAGTAGAAGAGCTGTTTAAGATGTTTCAAAATAATGCTTGAGAATAAAGACCCAACTGTTTAGTTCTAATCAGCTGAGAACAGATCCAGTCTGGAAAAGAGAGCGTTTGGTGATCTAAGTAGATGGAGTAGAGCGATCCACGTCTCCGCCACAGTGCACTGGCTGTAGTGAACCATGAAGCGTACCGTACAGGCCAAACATTTGGACACATTCTCATTCAATGTGTTTTCTTTATTTTCATGACCATGACCATTTACAAAGGGGCCAACAAGTGATAAACACCTCTGGGAACTCATTCAAGACTGTTGGAAAACCATTTCAGGTGACTACCTCTTGAAGCTCATCAAGAGAATGCCAAGAATGTGTAAAGCAGTACACACACGCCATTTTTGATTAAGTACATATCTCCACGTGTTCATTCATAGTTTTGATGCCTTCAGTGAGAATCTACCAATGTAAGTGGTCATGAAAATAAAGACAACACATTGAATGAGCAGGTGTGTCCAAACTTTTGGACTGTACTGTACATCCATCAAATATCCAATATAAAGCTAACTTCACCACAGTCTCACTACTTTAAGCTGCTGCTGCCTCTCTGGTGGACTCCAGTACTACAAGTTCATTCCAAGCTGTTTTCCAATCAACAAGAAGATCTGGCTGCAGACATCTGAAGTTGTTTTTGTTTTCAACAAAATTTTATTTAGAACTGCATAGTGTGTTTTTTTTTCTCTTCAAAACTCTAATGCGTCAACGTGCTAACGAAACTTTTTTGAACGTGGGAGTGCACTGTGTTCAGTGTTATGTTTTATGAATGTGGTGGACAGTGTACAAAAGTGGAGATTTTGATCTTTTATTCTCATGAGCCGCTTCTGGTATTTCCATTTGCAGACGGTCCCTAAGCGCTCCTCGCAATAAGTCGCAATCAGAGAACGGGTCGTTTTTAAGAAAACAAGGTTGTAGCTTGTTGAGTACCTTGCCACGATTCTGAAAAGATTTGATTTGTTTCTACAGAACACTCTAATCCGGAGTTATTGAGGGGGAAATGTCGAATCTGTGAATATCATGCTAATTTTACTTCAAATCCTGCTAGATAGCGGAGCAGACCAAGCAGAGATCCGCACGATGATGATAAAGGGAACCTCTTCAACTTGAGGGTAAGACAAAGGCAGGCAAAAGAACAACAGCAGACCCAGAGGGTGGGAAGTCTATAAAACTTAGTGCTGACCTTATTTTGGAGCTCCGACTGTCACGAAGACTGCATAATATCTTCTTTTGTCCTGGAAAAGACTCGCACCAAGTTGTTGAGAATGAAAATAAGAACACGACCCAGTAAGAATATTCCTACAGTAGCAGCAACTAGACGATTTTGCTGATGAACTCTCTCGGAAACGGAGCAGAAGACTGCACAGTTGGATCATTTGTTCACAGACCAACACAACAAGCTAACCGCTTCCCGTTTTCTTCTCATTATACTTTTGGGCGGTTGACAACAAGCGTAAAGGTGCATTACCGCCACCTACCGGACTGGAGTCTAGAACAGGCTGAACAGCAAAGTACTCCAACTTTTTTTTTTTTTTTTTTTGCTTTCACCTTTTTTTTAAACAGGTTTTATTAACTTGTCAATACATTCAGAAAATACATTCAGTATATCCATGGATCACATTTTAGTTGTTTACAATTGCAATAACATACATGCAACATTAGGAAACGATTAAACAAAAAAAAAAACAATAAATAAACAAAAAACTGACGAAAACATAAATAACTTAGAAACATAACACTTAGGGGTCTGCTGTGTCTAAGTTGAAATGATGAAATAAGTTGATGGTCTTTGTTAGTTTATTGTTCTTCTTTTTTAATTTTTCAATGCTATTCCAATATTTCATAAGGTCTGTAATTCTGAAATTATAGAAGGAGGGGATACTTTTCTGAAAAATCATTTTATGTAAATAATATTTTGCTAAAATAATGACTAAGTTAATTATGTATTTTTCATTGGATGATAAATGAGGGTTAGTAACAATGAGAAGTATTTCATATTTGCTTAAAGAAACATTTTTTTGTAACTTTCTGGAAAAGTATCTTTGTAAATGGAACCAAAACAAAGTTACATGAAAGCAATCAACAAAAACATGTTCAATAGTTTCTCCCTTACAACCACAGAAAGTACAGATGTCAGAAACATTTGGAAAAAAATACAGATGTTTGCTTTTGATGGGTAATATCTATGAACAATTTTGAATAAAACTTCTTTTATCTTATTCACAATGACATATTGGTGAGGTAGCAGAAAGATCCTGTTCCAGAGTTTTGTGTTCATCAAAGTCCATCGATGTTTACATATCGGGGTTGAGACAGGATCAATTACTTTTCTAATAACAGAATTATTACATTTCTTATCTGTGATTGGAATCCCAGAAACAAAGTACTCCAACTACCCCTGGGGTGTGTCCGAATCCACAGGAAGGATGCTTATGAGTACGGGTCCTCGGCGGTCGGTCCTTGAAGACGAGCAAGGTCTAGCTGCGGACATTGCCCCGGCCAAACACGCCCCGGCCAAACACGCCCCTATGTACAAAACACGCGTGCATGTACAGTCTATGGTACGAAGACGAGAACTCGCATGCGTGTTGCAACAGATGGAAATGACGGTTCAGGTAAAGACAGATTTATATTTTTACAACTTGCGAAGATTTTGTACTAGAAATTTGAACGTTTAAGACATAGTTTGATAGATAGCGCAATCGTAATTTTTTTCTGAAACACTTTTATATAAAATTAAGCATTATTGGCAGTGGAGGAAGACGTCATGGACGCAAATTTTTTAATATAATTTTTAATGGGCTACATGCAAGCCTTTTGGCCAAAATAAACGTAACAATAGGCTGTTTATTTGACCGTTTATGACTCCTCATCTAATAAGCAGCAAACTCACGATTTTTTTAATTATTTAGCTCCTCCTAGCTGTTCCGAATGCTCGTTTAAAAAGCCGTGGAGAAAGGGCTTTCTCTGTCTGTGCATCGAAGCTGTGGAACACATTACCACTGCTAGTGAGGCAAGCACCAAAGCTAGCATTTTTAAATCACGCTTGAAAACTCACTACTTCAACCTAGCTTATACAACATGCATTGTTTAAAAATGGACTTCACAATATCAACTTCCGTACTATTGAGGTTCTTTTTAAAATGTTTTTCTAATTTTTTTATTCTCCCTGTGTCTTATTGATTTTTAGCTGTTAGTTTTGGGAATTTTGTTGTATTTCCTTTGTATCTTTTATCTGTGTTCCACATGATTGTATAACGCCGGTTTACTTAACTAACATTTTTAGTGTACAGTGCCTTGTTTGGTTTTTATTTATTTTTTTTTTTTTTACAGAAAGATGCTGACCAGAGAGATGCCATCATCATCCCACTGTGGATTCGAGGGCGTTTTCTGCTGAGCGTAAGAACATTATACCATTTACAGAACAATTTTGTGAGTGGCATACAATATCAACATAACATGTTAGGACATATGTTGTAGATGATGTCTGTGTTTTAACCTTAAAGTCATTTGTGAGTTTCCTGTGGTTTTTGGCTAATTGTACATCTGTTCTATTTTCTGTAGGTAATGAGGCCACTCCAGAAAGAAATTTCATTTCTGGATTCCCATTATTTCAGAAGAGCAGATGGTTTCTCCAGTCAGGCCTACAGGAATCTGTTGAGGTTGTCAGTGTTGTGTGTGCTGGAAGTCACGTTATCCTGACCTGCCAATGTTTACAAAAATTTCCTAAAATAAGTTCAATCAGGGGGCAACGTGATAATAAATGTACCCCGCTCTGCACATTTGTTATAGGGTCAGATGAGATTTGCTTCAAATAGCTGAAAGTGAAGAAAATAGACAAATATTAAATGCAATGAAAAGGGGAGGGAGACAGAAAGACAATGTACTTTTTGAACTTTAGGAAATTATGAATATTTACCAATTTGCATGGTCCTGTTCTTGGACATGTTTCCTGTTCTGTGGATTACAGATATTAGGCATGTTTCCATTAGCAGAACTCCAGGGTAGTTCCTGGGATGGGGAACTTGACCAGGAGATAGGATGTCCCAGTCCTCTCAGCTGTTGTGTCTCCATTCAAATTCAGCCCTTTCAGACTGACGTCAATGATCAACCCAAAAAAAGCACCCTATGTGACATTAATAATAATAAAAGCATTTATTTTATAGAAGTATGTTCTAATTTAATCCATTCGGAGGACAAGAGCAGCTCTGAATTTTGGGAGACAAGCCCCTTTAATTAAGTCTGTGGTGGATTTTTACTGTTTTGTCCAACAGCTGTGGGGGGATTACACAGAGTCTTCCAGTGTTGGGAGATAGACTTTTAATGCGATCGGTGCCTTTTTTTCATTCTGCATCACCAGCTATTCTTCTAATTATACTGCTGCCAGTTGTTTTTGACGTCTGCTGATGTCATTTCCTACTGAGTTACAACCAATCAGCTACTCCAGAGCAGGTACTCAGAAGGTTCCTGAAAACGGCCGTTTGACATGTCGGGAGGTTACTGTAAATCTATCCTCAAGTTCTTGTAGTGGAAACACGCCTATTGATACGGTTCACATGCCATCAATTTCTTATATATTTTTTATCTCTTACAAAATCATAGCAGCATATAGCTTTTTAAGTTTTACATTGTTGTTGTTTTTTTTTTTTTTTTTTTAGGTTACTCAGAGATGTTGCACAGCAGACAGCTGTGGGAACCTGGGTGGAGAAAACTGCTCTGGATTTGGAGGTATTGCCTGCAATATCAAAATTAAACTGAAATGTAATTGTCGGCTATTTGTTGAATTTAACTGTCATACAGGGTGTTCCTAAGCAGACACATGGCAATGATTGTGGTGTCTTCATGATAATGGTGAGTGACGGTAATGCCGTATACAATAACGTGACACACGATTTTTTGTATTCTTTTGTTGGATATCTTATTTATAATTGCACCTTAAAGCCAATACATTTTTCTATATGACGTTAATTGAGTTCCACGTACAGAAGCTGGAGCCACTGATTGGATAATATGTAGTATTTTGCATGGCTTCAATTGAAGAACTATGTTAGGTTCATGTAAAGCTACATTACACAATTGAATTACTTTAAATCAACACAGTAACAAAACAAAACCACAACAAAAACAGCATTACATAGAGTTAATAAATGGATTGTGGACAGTGCTAATTCTATCCATGCAGTTTATCATGTCTTCTCTAATATACAGTTTATTGTAATGATCTGCACTACATATTTTAGTGTCAATGTGTGCCCACTCTGTCATTGAGCAGTCTCATATATATTGTTTGAAAATGTGTCATCACTACAGTATGCCTGGTACTTTGCTATGGAAGCATCCTTTGACTTCAGTGTGGTAAGTTTACAAAAGAAAAATGTAAAAATTCTATCATTACTTTTCAAATATTGTTAATATACTATGACTAATGTGTCCTCATAGTGTACCTGTGGTCTTTATTAGGATGACATGTGTCTACTGCGAAGACGGTGGTGCATTGTCCTATTAGAAAACCTTGGCCTGGAAGGGTACGCTGCAGGGCTTCCTTTTATGGTCACACTTATCTCAATTCTGGCTCATGAAAATATGTGTTTATTACAGGTATGGAAGGAAGTTTGCCCATTTTACAGAAGAGGGACAGGCAACCCTTCGTACCAATGTACCACCGGTATTCAGGATAAAAAGAAAAAGACAACATGAAAGCAGCACCATGGTCAGTGAAGACCTTACTCCTGCCTGTTTGAAAATAGGTCACCACTTTCAGGGTTGGAATGATTCTGAGACGGCAGTAGTCCCACAATTATCAGTTGCTGTATTTAGCTTTTCCAATTTGTTTTGGTTTATTTGTTGATTTGAAATAGCTGAAAGTTTGATATGTTGTCAACTTTCAATAGTGGTGGTATAATAAGTGCAAATGTCAATCCTCTTTGGATAACTGTAAATCAAACTGATACAATTATTTGCTTTCCTCTAAGTACACAGGACACCGACCGTGTGTATTTTAACACACCCTACAGCTTTCCACCCAGAGAGCAGGTGAATATGAGTGAAGATTATTGCATGACAACAAAATAAAATTAATTGTAACTGCTGTGCATGAAGTCATGTTTTTTGTGTGTCGTGATTAAGGACAATGACGGCATGGACCAACACAACGTGGTCAGTATTCTGAAAAATTTTTTGTATCACATGAAAATATTTTTTGCCTTTACTGTTGTCAGTCTATAACTAATGGTTAATATCTTGTTACCTGCAACATGACAGACTAATGTCTACATGAAAGATGTCCTTTTGCTCACCTCATTACTCAGGCAACCATCCATGCACTTTCAGCTGTCCAAGAATGTTGACCAGACAAAGCCACAGAAATGTACAGCAGTGTGACTGGATGTATTCTACAAACACAAGAACAGTGCTAATGCCTATATGTATTGTTTTCACATTGTTTATGACAGCCTCTAGGTGTAAATGTCATTTTTACTAATTTCTATTTATCTTTGTCTCATTAGTGAGAGGCAGCTGATGTCTTATGCCATGGAACTGCTCATATACACGGAGAAATTCAGAAAAGCTCTGGACTCATCTCATTGTGTGGACATTTTTATTTTTTATTTTTCGAAGGTTTTTGTAAGGCCAATAAAAGCTGTTGCTGGATGGTTCATTTGTCTGAACTTTTTTTCTAAAGCCAAACTTTTCTGCTTTTGTGTTTACAGCATATTCTTTCCAGATTAGTGTATGGTCAATATCAGTTTACTGGTCTTGTGAATTGTATACTTAATGCAAAATATTTTAGTTTTTCGTGTGTGTGTGTGTGTGTGTGGGGGGGGGGGGGGGGGGGGGGGGGGTTGGTTTTGGCCGGGGGCGTGTTTGGCTGGGGCAATGTCCGCAGCTAGGTATTATTGTTTTTTTTTATTAACAAGTTTTATTTAACCAATGAGGCTTACAGGCTTACATAAGAATCAATATTTACAGTTGAATTCTGAGCATGACAAAAAAAAAGCAGGTGTACAAACAGAAACAATAATATTAATCTAGCTCAATATCAACCTGCAGAAATCATAACCAATATATATATATATATATATATATATATATATATATATATATATATATATATATATATATATATATATATGTATATATATATATATATATATTACATCAAACAACATTAGGGGTAAAGGAAACATTCACCAAATTGTTATAGAGCCAAATGGCTTTCTTGGAACTACATAATTTAAGAGAATCCATAAAGGATGCAAGTTCTTTCAAAAAAACAATAAAGATCGGTTTGATATTGCCAAATTTACATTTGTGTATAAAGAATTTAGCGAAAATAATCAAATTATTGACAGTGAATTGCTGCATTTTATTTTCCAAAATAATACCATACTTGATGTCAGAAAAAGATTAGGAGCGTATAATGAAATTATTATGCATTAACCATGAGTGAAAACTATCCCAGAAATATTTGGTACAGATGCATGTGAAGAATAAATGTATCTCAGTTTCTATATTAGAAGTTCAAAAGGCACAATCGTTCTCTCCAATATTAAATTTAGACTGCAAGAAATCTTTGCAAGGATAAATACTGTTTATAGTTTTAAAATGAACTTCCTTGGCTTTAGGAGGGATTGGGAATTTGAGATAGTTGCATCTAATGTTTTTAACATCAGAATTACTAAATTGACGTACTAATTCCCGTCTTCTAAGAGGTAAGGGAAAGAGGGTGTCAGTGAGCCAACATCTAAGGATTTTATTATTGCAGTTCCTGTCCTCAAAAGAACAGTTCTTAATTGTTAAAGGAGGCATTATTGGAATAAGGTGAGAGTACAACAAAGTGCCTTTCAAATTAGCATATATAGCTGGTGGGATTGCCTTGATTACCTCGGCATATTGCTTAGAAGAACAAGTTGGGTTAAATTTGTGATTTGAAAGCCGCAAAATTAAGAAATTCTCCATTCTGGTCCATCAAATGCAAAACGGACCATACTCCATGGAGATGCCAATCATTAAAAAAAAAAGATTTCCTTTTAATCAGGATATAACGGTTGTTCCATATTGGCATGTTGTGCGGTGTGAAGTTATGTGTATACATTAATTTCCAGTATTGTAGAACTTGCTCGTGAAATTTGGATAACTTAATAGGGAGTTTGGATAATTCAAAGTCACATTGAAGAAGCAATTGGATTCCGCCTACACTGGAGAAAATTTTAGCAGGAAGATTAAACTACAACATATTTATATTCTTTATAAAATTTTGTAGCCATTTCAACTTAAGTGCACCATTCATTATATCAAAATCGATTGCATTGAGACCCCCTTCCTCTATTGATTTGATGATGTCATTCCTTCTTATATAATGATGTCTGTTTTTCCATATGAAGTTAAAATTGTTTTGGTTAATTTCTTTAATAATATTTTGAGGAGTTCTTAGAGAATAAGCCGGGTAGATAATTCTTGACAATCCTTCCATCTTGGATAGAAGTAATCTACCAAAAATTGAGAGATCTCTTTGTAGCCATATGTTTAAAATACTTTTACTCTTTTTAATTAAGCTTTCAAAATTACATTTTACTCTCGTTTTTAAGTTTTTTGAGATTGTAATCCCCAAATACTTGACTTGATCTTTAACAGGTATGCCATGCAGAGTTGTTTGAGGATGATCATGAATGGCCATTAATTCACATTTATCTATGTTTAAATAAAGGTCTGAGGCTTCTGAAAAACAATTAACTACTTGTAAAGCAATTGGGATCTGTTCCTTATTTTTAAGGAAGAGCGTAGTATCGTCTGCCAGTTGAATTATAGCTAACGAATTACCAAAAACATCTAATTTCTCTATCTGACTATTCTTAATCATGATGCTGAGAATTTCCACGACCATGATAAAAAGATGAGGGGAGGCTGGACACCCCTGTCGGATGCCTCTTTCAATGTTGAAACGTTTGCAGGTTCCAGATGGCAAAAGTACAGTACTATTAATATCCCTGTATAAGGTTTGAACAATTTCACACAACTTTGTTCCAAAGCCAAAATGGTGTAATGTGTCTAACATGAAGGAATGGTTGACTCGGTCAAAGGCTTTGCAGAAATCCAAAAAAAGAACAAAGCCATCATCCTCAATTGTGTCCCTGTAATCTAACAAATCTAGGACCAACCTAATGTTGTTATGTATGGAGCGACCCCTGATAAACCCAGATTGGGAATCACTGATGATTTGTAAAATACCTTCTTTGAGCCTATTAGCCACAACATGAGCGAGTATTTTGTAGTCCACATTAAGGAGCGTAATTGGTCTTAGATTGCTTAGAATTTTGTTATCTTTGCCATTCTTCGGAATCAAAGAGATGAGTCCTTGTTTCATAGACGGCATCAAAGATTTAGTTTGGATACATTCTTGTAATGCAAAAAAGAGAAGATCTTTTATATTATTCCAAAAATGTTTATAAAAGTCAGATGTCAGACCATCTTGACCAGGGGATTTCCCAACGGAAAGTTGTTTGACTGCTGCCTCTACTTCAAAAATCTCAATCTCTGCATCACATATCATTTTAAATTCCTGACTGATTTTTGGGATGAGATGTGTAATATTATCCAATAGGTTTGATTCATTGCCACTAGATGATGAATAGAGGTCTTTATAAAATGTATAAACTTCTTCAGCAATAATTTTGGTATCCGTGCATTCTACATCGTTGATGATAAGTGAATTAATTAAATTCCTCTCCTGTCATCTTTTTTCAAGTCCACAAAAATATGCGGTATTGCGTTCACTTTCCTCAAGCCATTTCGCTCTTGATCTAATAAAAGCACCTCTAGCTTTCCGAGAGCTCAGCTCATCCAACTTAGATTTAAGGTTTATATAAGTGGCTCTGTCTGCATTTAACATTGGAGTTTTCATACAGTATTCGTCAAGTTCATGTATTAATTTAATTTCTTTTTCTCTCAAGGATTTACTTCTCTTAATTCCAAAAGTTATTGCAGATTGCCTTACTTTAAATTTGAAAAATTCCCATCTATTGCAACAACTTCCTATTGTGACATCATATCTAATTTCTAACATTAGATTATTAATCAAGTCGCAAAATTCACTGTCTTTTAAAAGATCAGAGTTAAATTTCCAAAAAACATTTTTTTTTGTGTTTATCTCTGGAGTTAATTTAAGAGAAATTAGGCAATGATCAGTTAGAAATGCATTAGAGATAAAAACGTCTGTAGCTATATTGGCTAACGGTGGGGAAACCAGCCATAGATCAATTCTTGATCTTATCATTCCATTAGGTTTAATCCATGAGAATTGCTTGGTATTAGGATTATTGTTTCTCCAAATATCAATGAGAAAGAGTTACATAAATCATTCAAAATTGGATTAACGTGCGGAACATTAAATTTGGATGGGTCTCTGTCCAAATAATCATCAGGTGCGAGATTAAAATCTCCTCCAAACAGAATTAAGTCTGTGTGATAAAGAGTTTTGTAGTCAGAAACAACATTACTGATTTCTAGGAACAACTTCCTATTCTGTGTGGCATTATTATATCCATAAACATTGGTTAGAATTATGTATGCATTGTCAATCTTTAAAACCGCAGTCAACCAGTGGCCATTATTGTCCGATCTGAAAGAGATAACATTACCGGGACATTTGTTGAAGCATATAGCAACTCCAGCTGAGTGGTTGCTTCCATGGCTGAAGAGAATTTTATCTCCCCATTGCGCTGTCCAGTAGGTGGCATCAGAAGCACAGGAGTGAGTTTCTTGTAGAAGAACAC